CAATTGTTTATAGAAAATCAAAAAAAAATTGATCGTCTATTTGTTGATCTTTTGGATATATGTACATGATATACTCGTGGTATTTTGACATATTTAATTTTAGATTTTTCTTAAATTCTTTAAGAAGATTCGAAATTTTTAATATTTTTTTTTTTTCTTTAATTATTAAGAATATTATACATGTTAATTTTTTTAAAAAAAGAAATTTTTTAGTTGGTTCAATCTTATTTCAAATTACGCTTTGTGGCTTAAACCTTTTTTTTTTTTTTCGCGTATTTTAATTTATTTAAAGATTCCTTCTTTTTTTTATCATCTTTTTTAGTAAAAAAAATCTAACTTTTTTTATCATAAATTAACTTTAAGGATGATTAAATATTGATTAATAATCTATTAATCATATTAATCAATCGTGCAACAACCAACCAAAAAAAATGTTCATTATATTAATATCCTCGTGGGATGAAACTTTTTTTTTAGAAATTTTTGGATTTTTTGGTTAACAATTTTTAACGGGGAGTATTTCCGCAGTTGACTTATTTAGATTAAAAGGTTCAAACGGTAGGTCCGTTAAAATGCCCCGACTCTGATACAACACCCCTTGTTCACTTTAAAAAAAAATTTTTTTTATTACGTTCGATTAATAATTAATAATAGTAATAATAGTAATAATAGTAATAATAGTCTTTTTTTTATTTTTTTTTCTTTCAAACTTTATTTTTTATATTGTTTGAACATTACCCACGCCTTGCGGACAAGTTAACAAGATTTTACTACGCCGATTGTATTAACTTGATATTGTTTCCCATATCTTGCCTTATTAAGAACTATTTCTTTTTTTTTACGTGTACTTTTTTATTAACTTGTTTTTTAACGGAAAGTTCTTTACGACGATTTAATTAAAAAAAATAAATTTTTTTTTTTTTTTTTTTTTTTTTTTTTCTAGGCAGTGTTAAAAAATTCCGGGATCCGGTACTACTTACAACAGGATTTTTTTTTTTTTTTTTCAGGAGTTTATCTTTCTAATATGGTCATATTTGACCAAATCTGAGTAATCATTATTAGCAAGAATTAATGTTAATTAAATAATGTATTATATTATAATTTTTTCAATATTTAATACGTTTCACCATTGTAATTTTTTTAGGTTTCTTTTTTTAGGTATTGTGAAATCTAATAAAATTCGGATTTGTTCAAAAAAAAAAATTTCCACTTTCCATTGTAAATTTTTTTTTCTTTGTTAAAATCTAAATTTAAAATAAAAATATTCGGAATCTTCATTTTTAAGATTCCGATTAATCATATGATCTTTTTTTTTTAAAAAAAATACAAGTTTTATTTTATTTAATTTTATCCGTTTAAAAATGATTAAAATGGTTAAAATGGTTTAAAATGTAATTGAAATAATAATTAATTGAAAGGATACGTTTTTTTTTTTTTTTTTTTTTTTTTT